GCCACATCACCTCTCATTGATCATCAAACCTTTCCCCACCTCAAGTTAAAGTTGCAATACCACCTCCTTCAGGGAGCCCTGCCCTGATTACCACCCCCACTTGCTTATCCAGGAGGAAGTGATCGCTTCCTCTTCTGGCCTCACATGATGCTCAGTCTCTCCCTCCCTTGTCACAACGACAGAAGCAAATTATAGATTCCCTGGTATGTTAGATCATTCATCCATTCATCCCACAACTGCTTACTGAGTTTCTACTATGGACTGGGGGTTGTAGACAAGGTGCCTACTTTCATAGTGTTTCCTTTCTGATAGGAGAATCAGGAAAAAAAAAGTGAATAAACAAATGAAATATTTTCAGGTTGACAAGGGCTAAGAAAAAATGCAGTACAGTTTTGGGGTGGGGTGTGTTTACACTGGATTAGATAGGTCAGTTAGGGACCGCCTCGCTGAGGAGGTGAAATTTGAGCTGAGCTGTGAAGGGTGAGAAGCGGCCAGCTATGGAAAGAGCTGGAGCAAGGGCATTCCAGGTCGAGGGGAGAGCATTTGCCAAGACCCTGAGGCAGGAGAAAGCTTGGTGTGTTTAAGAAACAGGAAGAAGCCTCTTATGGTGGCAGTGAGTGGGAGGAGCGAAGCGAGGGAGGCGGGCAGGACCCAGGTCAGGTCGGGACTTACCGGGGTTGGTAAATGTAGGGAATCGCAGGGGAGAGTTGAGAACTGACTGGTGTTCATTCATTCATTCAGTGATGACGCAGGCCCCCTCTGTGACACAGAACAAGGTGCTGAGAACACGGGGACCAGGGATCCACCTGCCCACTAGGCGTGCAGGCAGAACGGAGGGACCTCCCCTGAGTAAAGTCATCCTAAGTGCAACATCTGGGTTTCTGCTTTTCTGATTCAGATACTTGGTCTGTGATCTGTCAGGTTCCTCTCATCCTTGTTATTCAGAGTGTGGTCCTTCAGTCTTTGCGTCATTAGCCAGGAGCATGTTAGAAATGCAGACTCCAGGGCCCTACGCTGTAGCCCTACAGACTGTATTATCTGTATTATCCCCTGTTGATTTGTGCTCACGTTAAAGTCTAAGAAGGACTCACTCCAATCAACGTATGGGGTAATAGACTCTTGCTAACCAAACTGAGGGGACGGTAATGAGTCAGATGCTAGCTCAACAGTTCATAGCAGAGGCTTATAACCTCTTACGTCAGTGTATCTCAAAACTTGAAAGTGCATGCACATCACCTGGGACTCTTGCACATTAATATGCGGATTCTGATTCAGTAGGTTTGGAATGGGGCCCCAGGTCCCGTGTATCTCATCAGCCTCGAGGTGACGCTGATGCTGTTGTTCCAAGGAGCACAGAGCTTTGCATGAACAGAACGAAGGGCAGAAAAGGACTAAGCCGGGTGAGGAGGATAAGAGTGCTGTGAGCCATGCTGAAGAGGCAGACAGTGGCTAGATCATGCTGCCCCTCTCTGTAACTACCACAGTGTTTTGGTAATAACTCTGTGAAGACCTTTCCATGTTGGAGTGTAATCTGAGCATCAGGGACCGGGTTTTTTTCATGTCTGTGGCCCCAGCACAGTGCCTGGTTCACAGTCAGGACCCACTAAATGCTGACTGAATGAGAGCCAATTTGAGATAACATGGAGACTCTAGGAATGGAGGCTGGGTGATGCAGCATGTCCGAGACAGTCTTTGCTGAATCACCACCCTCCATACACTCTTCTCCAACTAATTCTGGTAGCGGCTGGGCATATGCCTGAAATTTGAAAACAGTTTCAGAAAAATCCCAGCCTCCGGTTGAGATAAACATAAATCACCATCTCTTCCAGATGGAGGCCGAACTGGACAGGAAGTGCTCTGCAAATGGACATGAGTGGCTGATCAAGACCTAATCAATTTCAAAATAGAAACTGGAACTGAGTGTAAATGACATAAGAGGAAGGACAGGGGCACGGCCTACCCAGGAAATCAAATAGGCTGGCAGGACAATGAGCACTGGCAAAGAAGGAATCTGGCGCCTGAACCTGGTGACTGGAAAAAAGTCAGACCCAGCCAGGATGAGCAGGCGCCCAGGAGCGAGGGTCTGAGTCACCACTAATGAAACATCAAGCCACACTCGGCTTTTCCTGCCTGCCTAGTGAAAACCGTTTGCTCAAATCATGTTCTATTTCAGGAAACGCCAGCTGTATCGTAGGAAGTCCTGCTCTTTCCACATTAGGAACAAGAGTCACTTGTCTTTGCTTTTGGACACTCACACGGTACCAGTCCTGGAGGGCACAGGGTTATTGTGCTGCTCATGTAAGATAAATAGGTACAGTCTGCCCCGGGACGTTGGGCAGGCAAGGAAAAGCTGAACTTGAGAGTTGTCACCATAAAGCATGGATTTCAGTCCCTCTGAGGAACCTTGAAATGTTCCTGTGCCAGCTTCAAAGGAAAGAGGGAAAAGCAGCCAGATTTCACGAACTGTCACCTTTCCCTCCCTCCTGTCCTGTGAGAGGTGATTTGAAACCCTGGCGTCATCTTCCCGGAGAAACAGCATGAGCAGGGATGCCAGAATGCTCCCTCCTTAACAGGCAGATGGCTTCGTGTCCCTGACAGTGATGATCTCCCTGGGACCATGGCCAAGAGCTACTCTTTGAGGTGGACTGGGGGCAGGCAAACTGCAGGTGACCTTCTCGTTTCCCCCACCTCTATCTCCTAGGCCTGATTTAACAGTCAGCATGTGGTGAGGGCCGCTCACTATAGGATTTGCACACTGAGAGTTTTATAGGACGAAGGATCCTAAGGAGTGGGACTGGGTATTTTTCCCCATTCAGTTCCTTATCACAGCAGGTTAACTGAGGACGTGGAATGTTAGACGTCTCTACAAACTTGCTGGGTTTGTTGGGGATCTTGGTGGATTTTTTTTACTAGAAGAACTTGCATAACACATGGAAAATGAGTGGATGGAAGAAACAAGGAGAAAAAAGAAAAACTGGATTTTTGCTGAGGAGAGGGATCACCATGTCTGCCACTTTGAGATGTATTTTGGTTTCTTCCCATGCAAAAGTGAGGTGGATCAGGACTGGCCTTCAATCATGGTGAAGAGCAAATATAAGAATTTATTTAGTTGCTTGGTGATCTGCAGCCCACTGCAGCAGAACATATGGGTCTGGGCAGGGACACAGGAAGTCATGGTTTGGTGTCCGCTCTGCCATTCAGGTGCTGTTCACCCTTGGTCTAGTTGCCACCCATCTCTGGGCCCCAGCTCCCTCTGGAAACTGAGAGGGCTGGATTAGAACATGATTTCATTGATCCTGTGACCAATTATTACAACGTTAAAAGCAATTAAGTCACATAGCAGACAATTGTGCACAACTTAATTCTCCTTTAATTCTCTTCATTAAGGGAAGGAGAACATCCCAAAGTAGTGTTAATATATCTTTAACATCTTTTAAACACTTGCCAATCTAAATTTTTTACAAAGTGGGAGCAGACTTGAGGCTCAGTCTTCCTAGGACTGCATCTATCTGTCTAGATGAGATAAATTTATCACATTGTTTTATTTATTTTTTTGGTTACCTTTGCTTTTTATGACAAGTGATTCTGGTTTTCCATTTTAGGCAGTGATGTAGAGTATTTTCTCCTAAAATAAAAGTGTTTCTGTAGATGAGAACATTTAAAGAACTCTGTGAAGATGGTGTTGGCATATGGCAAAAACCATGAGGTTACTACTTGAATGGCTGCGCTTGTGAAAATCCTGGTCTAGATGACCTCTCAGTGCTTTTCCAGCTCTGTGGGCCCGTGGGTGTGAACGTCCCCATTTCTGCACAGCCCATACTTTGCTGGCTTCCGGTTGTCTTAAACGGTAAGCTTTGTACGTGCAGCAATTGTATGTGGCTTTTTGTCCTCTGAATCCAAAACATCTGATTCAGTGGGTGGCACATGGTTGGACTTCAGTAAATGATTCTGAGGGAATGATTGCATGACTCTGGTGGAAAACACCACATCATGACATCTTTTTATGTTTGGGAGCAAAAGAGAAGGAACTCCCTGCATTTCAGACCCTGTGGAGTAGAGACCAATCACAGCTAGGCTCACACACACTCACACACAAGCACACTTCATGCTTTGAATGTTAACCTAGGTTGAATTTTTGTAATATTAATGATATTACATATATAATGAATTTCTGTGATATCACTGGTATCAGAACATATCTAATACTATTTTTGTTTTTTTTTTCAAATAATTTGGTTCTTGACATCTCTGAAAAAAGGCAAGGTTTAAATAATGAATGTATGAATAAGTAAATACATTTACCTTTTATTTTTTGTTTTACCTGTTTCCGAATCTCATTGGCTCTCTGCTTGCAGTATTTTTAAATTGACTGGCTGTTTGGTTCAAATTATGCTTTAAAAAAAGTCTTAGCGCGGGCTACAGACCTGCGGTGTTTGCTGGTTAGCGTTTGGGTGTGCCACCACGCTGCTTTGGCTGGGTGACAGTTTAAACACAGCCAAACAGCTGTTCCTGCCGGGAGAGTCAATGGTGAGAAGATTCCACAGAAACAATGCTTGGCCTGGGCATCCCCACCCCTGCAGGGGCATCTGAGGTGGCCCAGGGGAGACCACTGGATTCAGGGGGGCCATCACTGACCCTCACCCACCTCTGTTTTCTCTTTCCGCCTTCCTCTGCAGCTGTAGATGGGTCTGACTCCTAGTAGTTTTTGGGAACTGTTGCCTCTGGAACCGGAGTGGGTGGAACAGAAAGCAGAGACTGGACTTTCTCACCAGCCCCACCTCATATTTCAGGTGAAGTTCTGCCCTGTAGGGGAGAAGGAGAGAGAGTCTGAGGCCATCTTTTGGATAGAGCCAGTCCTGCTCCCTCAGCCCAACCTCTGCCATTTGGTTTCATTTATTAGCCTCTGCTGAGGGCAAAGGAGCATCAGGGCTGAGGTAAATGGAAGCAGAATTATTGCAACATAATGAAGAACTTACTAGTTACTGAGGCAGCACAAATAGCTATTACAAAAAGAGCAAAGTGATATGCTCCACGGGGTTGTAATAAATTGAGACAATGTGAATAAAGCATGGTAGCTGAGTCCCACCCACCAGACGCACTCCATAAATAATAGTTATGATTCTCCTTTAACTCCCCACATAGTAACTGGCTCCTAGTGGGTCTCAGTAGGTGTTTGTTGAATGAGCAAACGATGGAAGCAGTTGCCTAGAGGGAGGAGGTTAGAGGTGTCCAAGCTGAAGATGTGTGTTACTGAGTTATGGTATTGACACTCCCATCAAATATGAAAACAGAAGTGGAAGTGAGCTTAGAGACAGTGCTTTAGATCTGCCACCCACCAGCCCAGATGATGTCCTCCAGGGCAGGTGGCTTTGACTGGCCAGACAACTGCAGGATAACTTTCCAGTATCCCCTCTTTCTGCATAACTGATATCAAAGTTAGCATTTGCCTCAAATTAAGCCAACATGCCTCTAGACACCAGAGTTTTGCAGCAGCCCTTTAATAGGGCAGTAGTTGGGGATAGTAAAGCAGGTGGGGATCCCCTTTCAGGCACATGCTTTTAGAGTTTTTGAGGTTTGGCATCGAGATCCAAGGAGCCTGCTCCTGACCGAGTGGATTTAAAGAGGAGATAAGGTCTCTGAGTCATGTCTTCTGGTAAGAGTTTGTGTTTCTCTTCTTTCCTAACAGTGTGATGAAACTAAGTTGCCCAAATCCAGCATGTTACTCAGGTTGGTTGGATTTGAGGGGGACAGCATACAACACATTACTGGAATAATGAAGAGAATAAAATCTACACGAAAGTCTCTTTCTGAGCCACAGTTGGTCCCATCCCAGATATTGTCAGATTCCCAATGGCATGGGCTGTCCTTCTGGTCAGTAAAATCTTTAAAGTTCCCCAGCCAAATGGTCTCTACATTCAAAAGGTGGCCCAGGAGCCATGATTCCCAAGGGGACATGCTCTCAGAGGTAACTGTCTGACAGGCATGCTGTCAAGGGGCTCCACCTCCACACAGGAGTGTGAGTTACCATGAGCAGTGCTAATGGTTAATGGACAACTTACTGTGTTCCAGGCAGTGTGCTCAGCCCTCTAAGTGGATGTCTCTGTCAATCCTCTGAGCAGCCCCGTTGTGGCAGGTGCGTGATGGTGGATGCTCATTGTGGTCCCAGGCAGCACTCCTATCGCCCAAAAGCCCTGATTTCCCTTTGGGAGTTACCTTCCCGTCCATGTTTCCGGTCTTGATGGAATGGTAAAAATCTGCTGTCTCTCTCTCTCACCACAGTGCCTGAAGGTTTCTTCAAGTCACGCTGGGAAGGCAAGGGTAAGTCCAGTTGGAATTTCTCTCTTGCAGAACTTGGAATCAAATGAGCTTATCATTTGAGAGCAGAGGAAATCCTCAGGACTGTATTACAGCTCCAGTTCTCGAGCCAGATTGCCAGGTAACTTCTGTTCCTGCTCCAAGTTTGTTGTAAACCTTCTCTTCTCTTTCCTCTAATGAGTTGCCCACTGCCCCCCAGTAAATTTGAGTGGTCTCAAATTCAGGTCTGTCTGCCTCCAGAGCCCAGGAACTCAACCATTGTGCAATATTGGATGGAACCTCTTCTGTTTCCTTCCAGGGCAGAGCTTCTAAGAGGCTCTGATTCTGGAAGTCTGAGAATGTACAAACCTAGAATGATATGATTAATTCCAGAGCTGATCAGTGTTCACACTTGCAAATCCTCCTCCCAAATTAGCTGTCGATCTGAGCTGTCTGCTGAGTCAGCAGCAGGATGGGTGTGTAAGAGCTTTTGGACTCCAGCTCTCCCGACAGAACTCATCCCTGTACTCATGCTGGCCTCTTCCTGCAGGATCCCTGCAGTTGGCCCTGCCAGCCTGGTCCACTTGCTTGTCCGTAGACCTGGGGTTGATGATCCTACACAGAAATCTGCAGACCACACAAGAAAAATTTGAACTTGAGCACCAAGAGGAAGAAAGCTGGAGCTCTCCTCTTTGAGAGTTTTTGCCCTGTTGACAGGCCCCTAGGTGTCTCCAGGTGTGGTCTGTCCACTCAGCAGCAGTGAGCAGGGCTCAGGCAGCTTTGAGAAACACTTCTCATCCACTCGCAGAATGAAAGATGAGAAATGTTCCCCTAGATCGCCACTAAGTAGATATAAAACAGATCTTCATATTTAAGTGGCTAAAAAGGAGTACTCATTTCCTCAACGTAGTTTTCATTCAGTGAAGTAGATAATTTGAATTGCGTGAGCAGATACGTTTTTCCCACGTGAGATATGATAAAGCTATTTTAGTTTTGGACAAAAATTTAGCTCAATTTTTGCTGAGTTGCCCTTTGCTAAAAAGTACTGCTTACTTTAAGGTATCCTTTAGGCTTCTTCAGTGTAGGAGATTGCCTTCCTCCATCTGATCTAGGTATAGTGACTAGCCGGAAGTTTTTAAACTCTTTTTTTTCCTTAGCAATGAAATAATCTTTTTCAATTGCAGGTTTATGCAGGATCATAATATACAAAACAGGTAAGATGGAGCTTCTCTGTTGAAGTGACCTGTGGCATTCCCGCTTACTTCTCCTACCTAGGTTCCTGAGGTGGCTCTGAAGAGCCACAGGTATTGAGGAAGCACTGGGAAACTACTGGCCCAGCACCTAATTTGAACTGAAGTGGACATGGGGCTGAACGGGGTCTAGGTTAGAAAGTTTGCACTGTGCTTTCTCTCTGTGTCTCTGTCTCTCTCTTGTCCTCTCTGTCCTCCCCTCCCTGTCCCAGGATAAGACTGAGGAAATCAAGAGGGTGGTTTACAGAGATGAGAAAGGGGCAGGCCAGGGTAGTTTTGAAAGCTGAGGCTCCAGGCAAACAGCAGGACAGAAGACGGGAAGACGGAGTGCAGAGCTGGGTGAGAGGAAGCTCCCTGCAAATACTCAGGATGCTACGGATTTATAGGAACTGGTGAGAAAGGCAAAGAAGTAAAGAATAGGTGAGAGCAGCAGCTAAAAGACAGCCAAGGACAGAACATCAGAGGCTGAGCTGTGTGCAGCCTGGGGCATTTAGGGGGTGGCCGGGCTGCCTCAGAGCAGAATCAGACACAGGGCAAGGGCCTGTGCACCAGGAGGAAACATGGCTGGTTCCTTTTGCTGTGCCTCTGTCCTGCTTGCCACGCTGCTAGGGGATTTTGTCCTCTCTAAAGAGAATATACACATAACCAGGGCATTTCAGGTAGTGTTTGGGGCAGTGGAAGCCAGAAACCAGCCAAGTTGACATATCTATGATATTATGGTTTGCAAAATACCTTTCTATACATGACCTCATTGCTCCCCTGAGGTATGCTGGGAAGGTCTATAAGGAATGCCACACAGCACCTGATGTCACAGAACACCACTGTTGCCACCACCATGCAGAGAAAGCAGAGCATTAATGAGGAAGGAAGAAGAATGCAGTACAGACAGGCTAATTGCCTTCTTTTCTGTTCATGGCCTCCCGCGTAGTCCTGGCCAGTGGGCAGGACGGTAGCCGTTATACATTCCATTCTCAATAGGTCAGACTGGCTTTGTGCTAAGTTTCCTGGACCATGTCACTCAGATGTGTCATGTGTACTTGGTTGTCATAGCACTTTTGCTCAGGAAGGATGATATTCTAGGCCAGAGGTCACACTCGTTGCCCCCAAGCTATGCTGGCCCCCAGATGGGTTTTGTTCGGTCTATATCAGGTTTAGAATTTTGAATTGTTTGCCAACACAGAAAAATTAGATTTCAATATCTGCATTTCTGGCTTTCTTGAAAATTGGAGGATCTGACAATACTGGTTTTTACAACTGCCCTCTTTCCATGAGTCATGTGTTCTCCACACTGCCACAGACCCCACCCAGCCAGCTTACTTCTTTACATACCCCTTGTAGCTCCATGTGCATTTGATTTTGAGACCCTTGGCCTAGGTTTTTGTCTTATGTAACTTGCCATGTAGAACAGGAGTTGGCAAACTGCAGCCGGTGAGCCAAATCTGACCCTCCAGCTCTTCGTACATATAAAGTTTTATTGGGACACAGCCACAGTCATTTGTTGACATACAGGTTGCTTTCACAGGACTCAGAGTGCAGCAGCTTCCAGAGAGACCATACTGTCTGCAAATTCCAAAATACTTTCTATCTGACCTGACAGACAACTTAGCTGATCCCTGATCTAGACCATGGTCAGAGGGCTGATTTTTCACTATAAAATGGCCCACCAAGTGTTTTCTAAACAAAAGTTTTTACCTCTCAGAGGAATTCTACCAGTGATCTAAACTAACTTCATTTTCTTTCTCTTCAGACTTTATTTATAACTTACCAAACTGAGAGGGGAAGTTGGTGACCAGTTGTTCCCTACATCTGGGTTATTGGGAGGTCAAACAATGTCAATTTTAGTGGCCAGACCATGAGGCAGTTGGCTTCCTTTCATTTTTCCCTTGCCTGCCATGTCCATGGAAAAAGAACAGGACTCCCTAGAATCACTGGCATCCTGCTTTTCTATAGACTCTAATTAGTGTTGCTGTTGCTATTATTATTTGAGAGAATGATAGCTTACACACGTGAAGTGGAAGCAGTTAACTCTTTCATAGCATTCCTGTACTTTTCCTCACATTTCCTTCTCAAGACTATCCTGTAAGGCAGGTTGGTTACCCATTCCACAGCTCTTCTTCCTCTCATCTTCTTTGCTATGGAGCCCGGCTCTAGGTAGTGACTGAAAATGCCAAAATCTAACACAATCCAATTCTGGCTAATGACAGATCAGGGGAGTCTTTTGGGAGGCTTCTAGGAAATATTTTCCTTCCTCATAAGAAAGTGGCACGTGCAAAAGAGATTCTCATATCCCTTCTTTTCTGTTTCTGAGTGTGGCTTTTGTAAAGATGTGATGCTTGGAGCTGCTGCAGCCATCTTGGGATGTGAGGAGAGACATCAGTGATATTTGAAAGATGTTGGGAGGAAGAATGAGAAGGTCCTGAGTTCCTGGGGACATCCTTGAGCCTGGAACCATTGCCTCCCAGATGGTTCTCATTATGGGAGATACTTATAAAACTTTCTTGGTAAAGCCATTTTGGATCAGATAGTCTGTTATTATACAGCCCAAAGTACCTTAACTCGAATGATCAACTATTACCTCTAGTTTATATAATTTTTAAAAACTAGCAAAAATGGGTATTGTTCTTACTATGTGTTAGATACTGTTCTGAGTTCCAAATAGTAGCTTATTTAGTCTTTATAATGACAATAGAAAATAAGTAGTATTATCCAACTTTTATAGAAGCAAAAAAGACATTCAGTAAATGCTAAGACTGCATGAGTTCACATACCAGGTGAGAGGCAGGGCAGGAATTTAAGGTAGTCTGGCTCTGGATGCCGTGGGCTTAGTCACTATACTGTGCTCTCTCTCTAGAAGAAAGGAAATGGTTTGCTCTGTGTCATGTGACAAGTCATCTCACAGCATCAGGTGCAGCCCTTAGCCTGGGGCAGGTACTGGAACAGACTGTATATCCGTCCATCCTCACTAGACAGCGCTCCACCCTTCTCCATCTTCATCACCCTTGAGCTCGTTTCATCACCCTTGAGCTCGTCACAGCCTGGATCTTAGTGGGCACTCAGTCCTAGGACTGGATTCCGAGCCCCTTCGCTGCTCTTTCTTCCCCTCCCCCAGCTGCAGACATCAGACCACTGGCAGCCCAGGTAAGTGCTGGAGGAGGGTGTAGCAGAGCCGATACTTGTATTCTACTGAGGGACATGGCACGGTGGCCATGGGCACTGGCTTTGAAGTCGGGCAGAGTTATGTACAGTTATGGCTCTGAAACTTCTAGCTGTGTTACCATCGGAAGGTCCTTTCCCCTCTCTGAGCCTCAGTGTCCTTTCTGTAAAGTGGAGTAACCTATCCAATGAGGTTGTTTTGAGTATTAAAATGATAGGGGTATAAAATACTTAACAAGATACCTGGTACCAAGTAACCAGCCAGTTAATGGCAGATACTAGTATTAGTAAAGTTGCTTTTTAATTCTTCCTGTCACTGTGTTTGAAGCTGTCTGTGGGCTAACATGTCTGGGGAACCTGCTGTTCTCTAATGAGGTGGGCCTGAGTCTTGGGATTAAGGGAGGGGGCTCACTGTGAAAGGTGATGATGTAGAAGTTGGGAGAGCAGGATGCTAGCCGAGTGTTATGGTCTCAGGGCCTCTCTTTCTCTCTTGGGGCTTCTGCTTCCCCATCTGTCAAATGGGTGTTTTGGCTGAGATGACCCCTAAGGGTGTTTCCTAGCTTGACAAGCCACACTGTAAGACACACAGGCCTGAATTCTCTCCAGGACTCTGCACAGCTCAGGAGCAGTTACCATCCCTGAGAGCCCTGATTCAGTTTTCTCCAAAATTGGCCAAGGCTGCCCATGGTTTTTGGTCGCATCAGCCACCAGCATGACCCGTGCCCAGTGCCTGGCACGAGATGCATTGATCAACAATTCTGAGAAGAATGAATGAATGAACTCCATTGAGTGAGTTCACTCCCTGTGATCCCCGAAGGTTGGGCAGGTTTGATTTCTTGTAGTATAAATATTTAGAATATGACCATGATTATGATTTTTGGCAAGGGTGACTCACTTACTCATGGTCGCGGCCTTCAACCATACTGAACTGTGAGCCAGCACCAGAATAAACTGCCCTCAGCTGCCAGCCTTGGAACCAAAGGGAAACTGACTTTCCATTGACCCATGAGACAAGTCTGATTTTGCAAAAAAAAAAAAATTACAAACAATCCAATATTTAGCAAAACCTGTCCAATGAGATGCTTCCTTGCATTTTCTTCTAAAACCCTAAACTGGAACAAAATGAAACCCTAAATAATCCTGGTTTATAACATTGCACAGTATGTAAGTAATAATGACGTTAGCTAACATTTGCAGGGCAATTACTTTGTGCTAAGTGCATTATTTCTTTTAGTCCTCAAACCTATAAACTAGGTACTATTTTGATTCCTATTTACAAGTGAGGAAGATGCGACAGCTAAGTAACTTTTGCCAAGGTCGCACAGCCATCCGAAGGCAAGGTGGACATTTGAACCCAGGTCCGCTGGATTCCTCAGCATCAATGACAGTATGTTGAATGAGCATGTGTTATGAGACCGTCACCGGGATGAGCATGTTTCATGCATATGCTTAGTTAATCCCTGTCATAGTGCTGTCTGCAGTGTACCAGTACTAGCTCCATTTTAGGGATAAGGAAGCAGAGCTTTTGAGAGATTATGTAACCTATAATCTATGTGTGGTGGAGGCCAAGCTATCCCTGTGCAATGGGAGAGCTCAGAAAACTCTCAAGGGCAACAAAGGGGGGGAGATGTTACCAAGATCACGCTGTGAATTGATGGCTGAACTGGGTCAGGGTTTCATTGAAGACTTTTTCCATTCACTGCTGGAAGGGCGTTGCTGCAATAACCGTGGGAGGGGAACTCTCATGCGGTGGATCCACCATGTCCCTTGCTCTAGAGACAGGAAAGTGAGCTTAGTGGATTAGAGCATATTCTTTGAAGTCAAACAGACCTGTGTTCCAATCACATCTCCCAAACGAACTTGCTGGGTGACTTTGAGAAAGACCCTTCCTCTTTCTCAGCCTCTGTTTCCTCTTCTGCAAAATAGAACAATAATTAGGCCTGCCTCCTGGGGTTACTGGAGGAGTAAATGAGAGAATGCACGGAAAGTGTCTGGCACCATGACCGCCACACAGTTCACGTGGAGTAGCTGTTCTTATTGTCACTGAAATGATCCATGAGCTGAGAGAGGTTTGAGAACCATTGTTCCACCCAGAGAAGCCCTGAAATCTGCTTCACAATGATGATTTATTGTGATGGAATGTGGCCCAGAGGCTGAAGGATGTCTGACTCGATAAGAGACACACATGCAGTTGGGGCACACACACACACGTGCGTGCGCGCATGCACCTGCACAGCTGCATACCTGGACACACATACCCTCCTGGCACATATGTGCACACACCTGTGCACGCATGTATATGCACACATGTACACACATTATACATGGCATATGTGTGCTCACACATGCATGTGCAGACACACACACTCACTACACCTATGGCTGTACGTGCTCACACATGTTTTCATGTACCCACACATGTACACACACACACATTGCATATACACACACATTCTCCCCATCTTTGCCTAGTTAACACCTACTCCTTCAGCTCTTAACCCAAAGCTCACAGCCTGGGGCAGCCTCCCTGATCTTTTGGGTGAGGCTGGGATGCTCAGGCCATGCTCTCCTGGTGCCATGCATTTTTCCTCTTCAGTTTACATCTTAATAGTCATTGAACAATTGATTGTGTAATAAGTTGCTCAATTCTGGATTTCTTGCTAGAATGGTAGCTCTGCAGAGGGCAGGGCAAAACCCGACTAGACTCCACTGATGGAAGTCTCCTAATATAGCCTGGCACATAGTAGGCCTTTGACAGATGTGTGCCATTGATTGAACAGAACCACCAGGGTCCCTTTTGCCCCTCAAGCTGGGGAATAGCTGATTCATCATAGGTCACCTTGTGCAGATTTTTGGCCTTGGCCTACAGTGGTTTGTGGTCTCGCCCACTCAGAGAGATCCAAGCCTCAGAATGCTGTGGAAACTGGTAAGGAAGAAAACTCAACTTTCAAACGCGTTCCTAGTCACCAAGAAAACAAGTGTCAGTGGTATGGATAGAAAAACGTTAAGAAGTCTGAAAGGCAGACAGCTCCTTATTGCTTTTTGCTCTGCTGGGAGGTGAGAGGACACCAGCAGCTGCCACACACAATAAGGCTGATGAATCACTGTCTAGGCTGGCACAGAAATGTTTTCTTTCTCTCAGGCCAGATGATAGCAGGAGGCAGGCCCCCTTAGATATAAAGAGAGCAGAGAAGGACAGACTGATGGAAATAAGAAACGCAGTGCTCATTTTCCTTCCTTTATTTGTGAAAGGAATAGTTCTGAACACCTTCTAGGTGCCAGGCACTGTGCTAGCGGCTGGGGGTACTGGGGAGAATGAAATACATGTAGCCTCTGACCTCTGGATGCTCAAGTCTGCTGGAGAGAGGAACAAGGAAACAGGCAATCAAAATGCAGTGTGATCCATGCTCTGAGGGGGAAGTTCAGAAGATGAGCTCCTGGGGAGAACAGGGATGGGTTCTGGGGAGAAGGATTTCTGAGCTAAGACCTGGAGAGTGAGCAGCAGCTGGCCAGGCTAAAAGGCGAAAGAGTGGTGTGAGGGGAGAGGAGTGTGTGGGCAGACCCCTAAGGGAAAGAGGGCACAGTACACCAAGAGACATGGCAGGGATTCAGTGTGGCAGGGGCTGGTGGGTCCTGGTGGGGTGGCATAGTTCATCTGTGACCTCTGAAGCCTCTGCCCCTAGGGTGGTGACAGATGGATCCTGGGGTTGAAGTACTCATAGGCTGAGAGAGGACCATTCTGGGAGAGGTGGAGTCCATCAAAGGAGCTTTGTCTGAGACTGGAGGGTTGGGAGCCGTGGAGTGTGGGCAGTGGCCAGCACATCTCAGTTCCTGTAGCCCTGAGGATACAGGATACGGGATACGGGGGGAAACTCGGTTTTTCAAATATCACAAAATGTAGTGACAAGTCCCAGTCACTAGAGGGCGATGTGAAACCATAAAGCTGGGTGGCCTCAGAGACCCTGGCCCCTTTTTGAGTTAGTGTAATGTTCAGTCACTTTGTATTCTATCCGTACCCTAGACTCATTAAATACGATTTAAAATATATAGAGACCGTTAATGAGTTGGAAGGTTCGCCAGAGCCTGTTTGGTCCAAACCTAGACACTGAGGCCTGAGGGAGAATTAGGTCCCCCTGCCTTCACTGGCCCCATGGCACAGACTTGTTCCTGGCTGTGGGCAAACCCTTCTCTTTTTCAATACTTCTATTTTCTATTATGTAGGAGAGACAGACCACTGTAACGCCTGTCTGTCCATCAGCCAATAAATATTTATTGACTTTCTACTATGTGCTGGGTGCTGTGTTAGGTGCTAGGAACTCTGGCGTACAAAACAGGTCCCTGCCTTGCAGACTCCACTGCCTCGTTGGGAAGAGGAACACCAGGAACTCATGTGTCATTACCAGCTGTGATCAGTGTGGAGACAGCCAGAGCCTGGAGACGGGACCTAGCAGGGGCCCCTGATTCTCTCTTGGGCTCGTTCTTGGAGGAAGGGCCATTGAGCAGAATCCTGGAGGCTGCACAGCCGCTTGCCGGCAGAGGGGTCAGAAGACCAGACCGGCCCACAAGCCCGTCTGGGCTGCCAGGTGTTGCTGGACAAGCCCTTTTCTCTCTCTCTGTCTTCTGTTCTCTCGTCTATATAATGAAAGAAGCATTTCAAGCCTGAGCCTTTGATTGGAAGGGGCTTGTCCCTTAGATATTGGGGTGCTCATGTCGGGGGTTCTCAGTCCAGCAGCCTGGAGGCCAACTCTTAGGTGAAAGGGGGTGTCTGATTGGTGGCCTCCCACTGGGCAGTGGGCCAGGGGCTGAACCTCCAAGCTTTACAAGCTCTGGGGAAGCTTTGTTCAGGCACAGGAAGACTGCCACCTGCAGATGCAGCACAGGGCCTGCCGCTGTGGCTCAGACTGCCTGCTTTTGATCGCCCGAGGAGCTGGCAACCTGTGCAGATAACTGGGCCTCAACCCTAGAGATAGTGATAAGGTAGATGT